TCTGATATTTTGAAACGGCCGCATGACCAGGCTTGTTGCTGCATGACCAGGCTGTTAACACTTATAGCATCTTAACCGAGAGAAGACAAAAGGTCTCACTATATAAAGTCTATATAAACTGCTTCTGGAAGCTTCGGGCTTTCAAAAACCACTTTCACAGCTGCAGACTCCTCACGGCTTCCTTGATGCATGCGTGGCAGACGCATCATCTGCAAAATTTTGGCAGACCCTGACTGTGCTGACTCTTGCAGTTCTGTTATGTCTACAGATAAATGAATTGGGCCAATGACTCCAATAACAGATTTGTCAGTTCCAGGCTGTGAGCATGTCACAGTCCAGTTACCAATTCTTGTGACTTGCAGGAGAGCTTACAGGTCAGCAGCAGAGATGTTTGCAAACTCAGTGGTCATCAGATTCCTTCTTGGATTGGTGCGCCCTTCATGTTTGGGAATTTGCCATGTGCAGACTCTCTAATGCATTTAGCTAATTTGACTGGATTCTTTAAGAAAGATGCTGCATTAGATCCAAATGGTTTGATTAGTATAGTATTACACTTTCCTTGACTGATCAGTGTGGCATTCATAACAGGAAAACACGCTTGCGGCCGCTGGGGCTGACAAGTTCTTGGCTGTTTACTTCATGAGGTGGAAATTTCATTCTAGGGTCCCCCTTACCTCGAGGAGTCAATGGAGGCATAAGATCACCTTCATAAGCTTCATTAATGATTTCAGATACAAGCATCTTCGGTAGGTTGAATTCTTCATAATCTTCATCGCTGCTGACAGAGGCAACACACTCAAGAGCACGTTTTCTGCCTCCTGACACTTCAGGGAATTTTTCGCTATCAAAGAATGGATCAATTACTGAGGTCATGTTTGAGGCATAGAGTTCTTCATTTGCAGGAAGGTCAGCAAAATCTAGGACCCCCTCGTTCGAGGTGATCGGAGGTGGGGCCAGCCCTGCCGTACCTGCCATAGCAGACCACGCACAGGGACAGTGTTGCATTTAACAAAGAAGATAAAACCCCAATTGATATATAAATTTAAACAACCAAGGCAACAACAACAGAAGAAAAAAAGTAAGGACTGGCAAACCTTTGTAGGAGAAAGCCAGTTGGGTTTTCTAAAGAAAATGAGTTGATAAGTATGAAGAATCACACTGAAGATTTAATGACTTTAGGTTGACGTGATACATTTGAATACAAAATTAACCGGATTTCGAGGAAAGCTGTTCAAACACGTGCTTACACTTCCAACGCAACTGACTCTCCAGTTATTGAATGGGGGAATCCCGCACAGTCTCCCCCTACTTTACTTGTAATACGTCACAATTTTCAAGGTTTCGCATTCAAAGTTGGGAGCCAGCCCGGTTATCATCTTCCAGTGTACATTATGATATACCTCTCAATTCTCCTCTCCAGGGAGTACAGTCCCAGGTGTTTCAGCCTTCCCCAGTGGTCAAGGCCCAGCTCCCTCATGCCGCTGATCCTGTACGTGAAGGTCCGCTGCAGTCACTGCCTCCAGTTTCGGCACTGCACCCGCCTTGAGCGGTGCCAAAAGCTGACAGCAGTAGTCAAGGTTATGGAGCACAAAAGCTCTGAAGAGTGTAATCATTGGCGCTGCTTCCCTTGTTCCAAATGTCCGCCAGATATCTCCCATCCTTTGTCTCCCTCACGCAACTATTTCCTCGATGTGATCATCGAACGTGGCTTCAGTGCACATCAACATTCCGAGATCTCGAACAAGGTGCTTCTCGTCAATTTCTGTGCCGTCCGATGCCAAGTAGCGATGTGGCATCTCGCAGGTCTCTTTGCCAACTCTGTATCTCATTACTTCGAACTTGGTGCCGTTGAGACATCCTGTAACCTCTCGCAGGCTAGGTCCTCTGTGATCTTCATCAGCCCTCTTGTATTGTCCGCAAATGACCATGTAGATGCGTGGGTAAATTCCGAGTCGATGTCGGCAATGAGGATGAGGATCGGTCCAAGCACCAAGCCTTGTGGCACTCCGCTTTTCACCCTCGCTTCTCTCGATTTCGAGTTTTCAATTGCGACAGCTTGTACTCTATCTGTAAGGAAATTGTGGATCCACCCTAACAGGTTTCCCCCTACCTCCAAGAGTCACTTTCTGACGAGCACCTCATGGACAACTTTGTCGAAGGCTCAAGCAAAGTCCAGGTATACCACGGGTTCCGTACTCCTGCCACTGCAGCAGCTGTTTACTAAAATGTGTTTCCTGGTTTGTTAAGAAAGGACATATGATGCAAGAAGTGTCTCTAGATTTCCCTAACTGTTCTACCTCTGCATCTAGTATAGTTGAAAATTGCTTCGCCACACTTTTGTTCCAACGTTATCCAAATGTGCCTTTATGTTTTCCTAGTAGAAGGAATCGGTGGAAGGATATGCAGCCTTCTATTCCTCAAGAATGCATTGTATAAGACCAGGTTAATAAAACTCATCTGAGTGGTGCAGAAGTTGCTTTTATTGAGCTCCTTTGTGCCATTATTAGCACTGTGATTAAACGAGATTATTTGATTACAATTAGCACATTACGCGTCATCTTGGATTCAGCCTCATATTAATCAATAATTTTAGATAACCAGCCTCTGGACAATCAAACTCCACCACTATGGACTATCGGCAGAAAGGTAAATGCCACAATCCAAAATTTACTATGAGACAGGAAGCAGTGATTTTGGTCTCCTCCAGCAAACTGCTAGAGGAGACCCAGGTAAAGTAGCTTGGGCAGTCACTCTAACCAAAGAGCTGAAGTGCGAACCCCAAACTGTACCATCAAGGCAGCCGCCTACAAAGCGTTAGCGCGACCCATACTGAAGTACGTAAGTTGTGTGTGGGATCCTCGTGCAGCAGACGATATTGCCACTCTTGAAAAAGTACAGCGTAGAGCAGCGCGGTGAGTCTCGTATTATTTGCTCCGGGCTTCCAGTGTGTACAACGAGCTCCGTGACCTGGCATGGCCAACGTTGCGAGTCAGAAGAAGGCGTGCTAGGCTTACCATGCTTTACAAGATCCACAACAACCTATAGCCACCTCCCCCTCCCCTGTCAGCTGCTCCATGCAGAATACCAGCAAGTCCCACCCTCTACAGTATGTCGTTCCTTTCAGCTGGACTCAATATCCCCAGATGACATTTTCCCCAGAACCATATCCGAATAGAACCACCTGCCTGCGGACGCCATCCAGCTCAGGTTTGTCCTCCTCTAAATGTAATAAAATAACTATATACAAAATACAATAATAGCGACTACAACAAGTGTAGCAAATTTATCAGTATTGATGTTGGCTACCTTTAGCAGAGAAGAAAAAACAAAGGGAATTAATTTCGTACATACGGCGTAAAAAATAAACCTTTTCCAGCAAAAATTATACTCGGTGTGAGAAGCCAATTGATTTTCAGTGTTTACGAGCAACATGCCATATAAGCCCAGACTTGTAGGGGGCGCTGTAATCGCAAACTCCGCACTAGTATTTCTTTATTTTCAGATGCACAACATCAACATGTCTCTTGAGATACCAGCGATAACTTGCAGCGTAATCACACTGCGAACATTTGTGTTCCCTCAAATTCATGTGCACCGATTTCATGTGCTGTTCTAGCTTAGTTTTCTGGTAGAACCCGCGCTTGCATGTCTGGCACTTGTGAGGTCGTAATTTTAAATGAACACTATTAACATGATAATCAAGTTGCCCTTTAGTGCTGCAAGTGAAGTCACATTGAGGACACTTGTGAGGCTTCAGCTTCAAGTGAACGCTAGCAACATGCCTAGCTAGTCTTGCTTTCGAACACGCGGAATAGGGACAGTGCGGGCACGCGTGCGGTCTGTCTTTTAGGTGCACCCCGGAAATGTGAGCTTTTAGATGAGTTTTCGTAGAAAAGTAGCCGTCGCACTCATCACATTTAAAAGGCTTTAATTTCAAGTGAACGGCTTTTATATGGAGCGTAAGGTTACTCTTCTCGGCGGCAGCGTAGGCACATTCATGACATTTGTAGCGCCTGAGTTTCTGATGGACACCTGCAATGTGACGACGAAGATGTGTTTTAGTTGCGGCAGCATAACCACAGAGAGCGCATTTATGTGGTTTTATCTTCAGATGTACATGTTTTATGTGGCTGTCGAGATATTTCTTGGAAGTAGCAGAATAGCTACAGTCAGAACACTTGTAAGGCTTCACTACTAAATTGGCGCCGGCAAAACGCCTATCAAATTGAAACTTGGTAGCAGCAGAATGGGCGTTAGAGACGTGACGCTGTAGCAACGCAGAAGAGGAAAAATTCATGTAACAAACTGTGCACTTTGCATGCACTGTGTTGAAATGGGTTTGTAAATAAGAAACATAACTGGAGGCATAATCGCACCTAGAGCACTTGTAGGGCCTCAATTTAAGATGAACCGCGTTGATATGTCGGTCAAGCTTGCATTTAAAGCGGAAAGCTGCGCCACAGACATGACACTTGCGAGTCTTCTCTTTGTTACGACGTACGTGGGAGGTTGTGGAAGAAATTGCCTCCCTCATAGAAGCATTTAGACGCTTAGAACGATTGAGGGATGTCTTTTGCAGACTATTAGTATTTTTAGAAAAGTTTAACTTATTTTCTTTACCTGAACTTGTTCCTCCATTTATGCCCACTTTTTCAATGCACACTTTAGGTCGCTCTGAATCTTCGCTCCCATGATCAGGATGAGGCTCTGGAAATGCTATTTCTTCTGAGAAAATATTATTTTCATTTTCTTCACTGCAAACGTATTTGTAATTTTCAGAAACATGAATGCGAGTCAATAGTACACTGCATTTTTTTAATTTGGCGCACAGATGCTTAGAACGTCTCAAATTCACAGAATTGTGCGCCTCTTTCGCCTTAAAAGAAGCCTCCCGTGTTGCAGGGACAGTTCTCGTTCCATTGTAGCTGAGAACGTTACAATTTACTGATGGTGCAGGAGTAGGAGGAAGGCGGCCATTATTAGGCGAGCGATAAAGATTCCTGCCCTTGTTGGGAGTTCTTGGTTTGCAGGAGGAGCCTGGGGGATGGATGGAGATGCCCCAGCCTCGACAGGCTCTGCCTTGAGAGAATCCAAGCCCAGGAATGGAATTTGGAACGGTTTGAAGTCAGCAACTGTAGCACTGTCCTGCTCAGATGGAAGAAATGTTACTGAATGAATTTAGCCTGAATGTTGACGTACTCAAAAATATGTATAATTTTTGGGAGAACTTAATTCAACAACTCGGAGGCTAATCAGATGAATTTACTAAGTTTCACAGCTGACATGCAAATTTAGGCCACTTTCATGGAGATAAATTTGAAATTTATCATTTTAATACTAATTAATCTATTCTAAAGACCTCCAGTCTTTGGAGTTTGATAAACTGAAGCATTTTGGAAGCTATAACGAGATCTATGCAAATTTAAACTGAATCAAGACTATTGTAAAACACAATCATAACGAATAACATTTTATAAGCCTATATTATGTAAGCAAATGATTACTGGGAAATCAAAAATGTAAATGAAGTTAAATAATGATATATAGATACTTATTACCAGAAAAATATTTTTATAAATAATAGAAAATCTGTATGAGTAATATGTCATAAATTCTACACTGAAGATAAAAAAATATACTCAGCTTCATAATAAAAGGAAGGCTCTGACATCTTGGATAGAAGAAACTATAAAGCATCTTGGATATAATGCTAACGAAGCAAGTGCCCATATCTTCCTTCATGCATAACTCAGAACTTTGCTCAACTTTATTAGGCTATTTGAGTTATTAAGGCTATTTATTTACTTTATTAGGCTATTTAAGTTTGGACAATTAATTAATTTCATAGAATAATAACAAAAGAACATTCTTCAAAGGAAAATCACTAACTTCTTCCATGAAGAAAGGTTCCTCTTTCTCCACTTCAAGGAAGCCAGCTGGGAGCCCTGAGTCACAGTTTGATTGCAGCTCATCACGAGGCTCAATCTTCACAGCTTCTGCAAGTGCTACAACTTGAGTACTGATTCAATTATTGAGGAACATACTTCAAAATTGTCATTAGTTACTGACCTTATCATATATGGTCAAAATGCTCAGCATGAATATTAACATCAAATTTGAGAATGCCAGACATCAATTCTAGATCTTATATAATTTACATAAATCTTATCCAAACCATACAACTTAACTTTAAAATGCTTTATTTTCTGGGATTTGTGCAAAAATCAAAATAATTATGACGAATCCTTTGTTTTCTGTATACTTGCTTGTGCCAAAATATGTACTATGCAGCAAATAAATTTTTTAACTTAATATCAAAAGTTGGAGAGCAAACAGTTCTCTACCAGAGACACTTTTTGTACATATATACTTGCTTAGATAATGTAAGTAATAAAGCCAAACCAAACCATAAAATATAAGTAATAAAACCTCTACATATATAAAAATTGATTTTCATCCTATGGCAAGCTAGGCAAACTCTCAATTTTGTTATAACTGCAATGTACATAAATATTATGACAAAATATTACATAAATCAAAACATTACAATGAGCTAATTACCCATGACACAACTAGGCAAGGAATGCTCCATCTGCCTGCAGTCTTCAGCTGTATGATGACACAGCTCGAGACCTGCACCTAACTTGACTGCATCAGAAGACTCCTGCAATGCGGGTAACTCCTTCATCTCTGCTGGAGTCTTAGAGCTCTAGAATGTAAAAGCAATTGAAAATGAGTTTGAACTCTACAGTGAACCGTGAACATTTTTCCTATATTTCTTAGTTCTTCACAAGTTAACTGTTGTTGCGCTATCAGTGAACCAATTTGTTTCATGTTTGTGTCTGGGCTAGTTAATGGTTTTCAATAAGTATAAGTATGAGAAAATGGAAGCAAATGATTTATTTAAAGTAAAAAAGTTTCAAGTCATTACTTTATAATTATAATATTAGTGTATGATCAAACAATGATTTTTTCATTTATCAAACCTAATGATAATGATTCCTATCACTAGGGATAGGGAGGGATCAAAGTTACACTTGAAAGAATCAAGAATGAAGGTTGCATCTTGCAATACTTCAAGATTTCAATCAGACAAAATATTAATTCATTAGCAATTCGTCTCCAAGTGAAACACAACAAATTAACATTTACAAATTAATAACAAATCATGCCACCAATAAAAGTTGAACTTAACATGATGCACTGCAAAGCTGTTTCGCAAGAGCAAAATCTCATACACGTTCACTCAGTGAAAGCTAACCAGCGTCTGCATTTGATGGTCGGCAATGCCGCTTCTGGAAGGTTGGTGTTGGCGGTATGAAGCACCAACAAGCGGTAATATTATGGTTGGAAACGCCACAATGCAACTGTAATATTACTGTATGTAAGTACTGTAGTAGTATGGTTATCGTACTTGCCATGAGTATCATGGTAGTTTCACAAATGTATTCAGGAACAGATTCTGAAACCAAAGTAACATTTCCATTCCTATATATAAATGGGATTGATAATACTACATCTATCAAATTCATTCAATGTTATTCAATTTGGGGTGTATGAATGACAATTTTACTTTTGTTCCTATGATTCTCATTTTTACTGGTTGCAGCTGTAGAATTAAATTAAATTTAAAAAATTAATTAAAATTAGATGTTGTTAAATTAAATTCATTTATTTGATACACCAGATGGTACATGCTGTAGAATTAAATTCTATTAAAAAATGTTAAATTGAAAATTTTGATAACAATTTTTAAATTAAAAATTCATTTTTATTAGATTAAATTGAATTAATTCCTACATGGTACATGCTCAATGTTTTATTAAATGCAATAATAGCCGCTTTCAAACAATAATAGCCGCTTTCAAAATTTTAAGTGAAGTTATCAAGACAAATTAGACATAATAGGGCAAAAATGTGAAAAAATTCATAACTGGATGCATACCAATAGGTGTTTACATTTTGAAACAACTTTCCATGATTTAAATCTCAGTGTGGAATGTGGATCAAATCTATTTATTGTGAAATCAAACTTGACATGACCAAAACAAAAGTGTGTGACACCATCTTATCAAATGTATTCATGGCAGCACTATGTGCCCATACACCGTGAAAGATTTGCGGTTTATCCCAACATTTTGTGTGGTTTTGAGAACTTTGTTGGTATTGGTGAAATTGTGAGAAATTTCTGCTAAAGTTGACATAATTTTTTACAACACTTCTCTTTAACGTCACTTCTTGTTGTTTGTCTGCTACAAATCTTGTAATCAAAATTTAATACACTTCTACTTATCCTATCGATCTGAAATTTTGCACACTTGTGTAAAGTTGGAGACAATGCATGAATCAAATGTCAAAATAAATTATTGTAAAATTCAAAAAAAAAAAAAAATTTCAATATTAAAAAAATTGAAAAAAGAATTGTGCTAGCTACAAATCTTATAACTGATATTTGAAACACTTTTACCCATTTAATTGATCTGAAATTTTGCACACTTGTGTGAAGTCAGAGGCAATGCATGAATCAATTAACAGAATAAACAATTTAAAAAATTTTTATATATTAAAAAATTCTATATATTGAAAAAAATGAAAAAAAAATTTAATATTTGAAAATTAAATGAGAAATTCATTGTACATCTGTAAGATTGGAGACACTGGATTCTTTGGAAGTGCTGTCTTTAAAAAGTAATTTTTAAACGTATATTATTTTATTTTAGAACATATTCATTGCAAAAATTTGTCTGATACAGATATACGACTAGTGAAAGGAGGCATTGCCGATACAGTATCAGGTTTCAAACCACGCGAGATATTGGAACATGGAACTTTTTGAAAGCATGGCAGTTTCTGATGAGCTCAGTGCATCAATGGTCACTGCGGTGGAAGGTGTTAGGTCATGGTAGGTTTTTCTATCCATTTTCTTATGTTCCATGAGAATATATTACCTATACAGAATTCCGCACTGCGTTTCAAGAGGTTTTTACTGACATTTTTGTGAATTCTGTTCATCCCATTTGGTTCCAAAATATGTCATCATGGCAAGGCTAAGGTATTGGCCACGATGCTAAATCAGTGGTTCCCAAACTTTTCAGGCTGGCGCCCCCTTAGGCTCCCTAGTGAATTTCTAGCGCCCCCCACAGACATGCGCCTCTTTCTTGAAATTTAGTACGCTGCAATTTTAAAAGAGAAAGGTTAAACACAAATGTGTATTTCACAAATAGAACCCCATTTAGTGAACCAATATGTTTTTCAGCTGTTGCAGCACTAGAAACCTAGGACATCTCGGGCGAATTTACGGCCGGACTCACATATCTCCAAATTCAATTATCAAGTTGTATCTCCAAAACTAATGAACGCAGCTCTATGAAACTTGGAACATGTATTCATCAGAACCTAACGGTGTTATTTAGCTTGTAATTTTTTTGAAAGTCACTTTTGCGTATATCGCAAAACAGGCCAAAATTCGCAGTGATCAAAGAATTTTTCCAAACTATTGAACGAAATTTTGAATATACATTCCTAACTACCAAACGGTGATTTTTTTTAGCTTATAATTTTTCATAGATTTTACCTTTGTTAGCGAGTTTTTTTTCCATTTCACCGTCATTCTTGATTTCACACTTCCCTATATTCGGCCCATATCGCCGTGCAATTTGTCACTTAAATTCGAGGCGATAAAAAATTTCTTCCAAACTACAGAACAAATTTCAATGAAACTTTGTATATAAATACCTAACCTCTCAACAGTGATGTTTAGCTCGTGACAATTTTTTATTTTGCTTTCGTTCGCGAGTTACATAGATATTGGAGGAATGACCGGCTTTTCTACCGGCAGGTTTAACCAAGAGCCGTATAAGGCCGTATAACTGGCAAACGAAGGCAAAACGAAAAAATTGTAACAAGCTAAACATCACCGTAACAAGCTAAACATCACCGTTGCTGAGGTTAAGTATTTTAATACTAAGTTTTGTTCAAATCTGTTCAGCAGTTTGGAAAAAATTTCTTGATTATTGCGAATTTAAATAAACACGTATTGCTGTTTAAACACGAATGAAGGTGAAAAAAACTCGCGAACGAAGGCGCAATCGAAAAAAATTTCACGAGCTAAACGAGTTTGGAAGAAATTACTTGATCACTATGAATTTCGGCCCGTATTGCCATATAACTATGACAAAAACAAACGATGGCAAAATTCAAGCAATTTTCACGAGCTAAACATTATTGTTAGGTCCTAATGAATACCTTTGTGTACCTACTAAGTTTCATCGAGTTAAGTTCATTAGTTTGAGAGATATTCCTTGATCATTGAATTTGGCAATTGGCCGTGAGACCGGCCGTTAATTCGTCCGAGACGTAAACCCAGGAGAGGCTAAAAACAGATCTGTGTGACAAAACCATGGCTGGGAGTTAGGTGCTGCACGTGTTGTGTACAAATCGTCAAACAAACTTTCGAACTTCTGACTTCGACTTCGGTTGTCGCCCCCAACCGCCCTCTTCTTCCTTACCGCCCCCCAAAATCTTTCCATCGCCCCTAGGGGGGGCGATATCGCCCACTTTGGGAACCACTGCACTACAACATGTATAACTTGGCAGCTATCTGGCAGCCAGACGCACCACTGTGCAGAACAGAAATTGGGTGAATATTGCCAGATCTTTGGCGATGCATTGGCAGCAAAATTTACACCTTCTGAAGATCTTGCCAACACATTTGCATTGAAATTATTGCATATGAGAAATAACTTTGAAATTACTGGAAATCTGAAGGACCACAAGCGCACACAGTAAGGCTATCGGTAGACTGGAAGGTTCAGGATGCAGTGACGCTTGTCTGGAAATCAGTTACATTGTGTGTAAGTGTTTCGGTATGTGGATAGTAAAGGATATACTATCAAAGTAGCTTGCAGCACTTTCTTATTAAAAACTACCCAGCAATGGATCTTGAAAATGGCCGGCGATGCTTTGGGCTGAAAAACCATATCTTAGCAATGCTGCTTGCACCCTCTGCACCCTGGCAAGATGCGTGGTGCCATCTATTGAGAGAGCAGTAGAGTAGAGACTGTAAGAAGGTGTTAGGTCATGGTAGGTTTTTCTATCCATTTTCTTATGTTCCATGAGAATATATTACCTATACAGAATTCCACACTGCGTATCAAGAGATTTTTACTGACATTTTTGTGAATTCCCTTCATCCCATTTGGTTCCAAAATATGTCATCATGGCAAGGCTAAGGTATTGGCCATGATGCTAAATCATTTGCAATAAAGTTGGTGATAGGACCATTAAGACGTTCATCTGGTACAGGCTTAATAGTACAATTAAGGGGTTGGCACTTGGCTGGTATGATTTCCTGAGGTATTTATATTTCAGCAGAGAGAGCAGGAGAAGTTGGCCTCTGCTCAAAGTAAAAAGTAAGAATGGTTTCAGAGTCAGATAATTAGTCCTAGTCCTAGTGAACCAGAATGAGATAGAAATCCTTCAAAATTTGCCCCAACCCCATCATAGTGCATTTCCAGTGTTTCTATGCTATTTAACTGCTCATTTGCTGTTTTTTTTTGTCACAGCAAGCTTATTAGAAGCTTGTATCCACTTCTATCAAGGCTTGGAATTTGGGAAGTCATCAGGTTGACTAAAGCTTTGAGCTCAAGAGTCCCTAAGTATATTTACACCATCTCCTAGCTGGTAACTGCCTCATCATTGGTACTGACTCCA